TTGCATCATTTAGTTTTTAACTGTTTAATCCCGCATACAAAAGAATTAATGAATTTTATTATTTTTGTAAAAAAATCTGAACCCATTTTTATATGAGATTTTTAACGTGAAAAATAAAATTAAAAATACACGTTTCTAAACATATGAATTTTAATGAAATATATCAACAGTTTTCAGTACGTATTATGTAGTGTGGAAAATGTATTAAATGCAAAAATGCTTAAAATGAGTAAGGTGAAAATGTGTAAAATGAGAAAAATACGTAAAATGTGCAAAATTTTTTTAAAATTTTAATTTCCAATACTTTTTGGTTTACTGGGTGCATGCGAAAAATCGCCAAAAAATATAGACTGTAGCGAACTTTTTTTCATTTATTTATTTATTTTTCAAACAAATAAAAGATAAATGAAATGAAAAATAAATGAAATAAAAAAATAAATAAAATGAATAAAAACAGTTGAATTTTTTGCCTCGGTTAATTGAAAAAGACCTAATTTTCTATAGATTTCGTTTGGGATCAATTTTTCAACGTTCTTATAGATACAGCAAGGTTTATATAGATAGAGAGAACTGTAGAGACACATATATTTTTCTTGCGTAAACCAAAATCGAGTTGTATTTCAAAATTTCTTTAGAAAATAATATCGGTATTGTCTTTAATTCTTTAATTTGAACACAACTACTTCTTTTCTCCATAAATAATTACAAACAAATTCCTCCTAAATTAACTTCTGGTTTTTAACTAATTTATAAATTACCCATATGAATTCAGAATATTCTACTCCAAAAAATGCGAAGATAATTGCAAATAAGTGCGATATTCGTGTTCTAATCGCCATTAAAAATAACAACAATTCTTTCATATAAATCGCGGAATTTTAAGTAGTTTACAATAATAAGTTTTACGTTTCAATTTTCAGTAATTTTTCTTTCTACATTACTTATGCTGACCTACAGTATTTTATATAATGTCGGTAAAAAATTAAAATACTACTCCGCATTAATATATCTATATTTTACTGTTAGCAAACAGCAACATCTAAAAGGCGTCTATAATACAGGAGATCCAAATGAAATTAAAACCACGTTAAGATGATTTTTTACAAGATTTTATTTCGATGAAAATAGTTGCAATAGCGTCAACGAATGCTTATGGAGTATTGAATGAACTAAATAGCTTATAACAATGCACTCGTAAAGAAATGGAGAATTCAAAAGAATAAAACTTTTTCAATAAAATATACATAAATGAACAAATAAATGTTTCAGATTTACTCGCATGTTTGGCTATAAACGAATATTGATAAAGTACTAGAAATGATAAATTAGTTTTCAGTTTTACTAAGAGTTGAAATGATATTAAGATACAGAATAATACTCAATAAAATTGCCTTATGAGATAATTTTTAAAATTGAAAAACGAAGAGAATAGATGTTTCTTGTCCCCATAAGCAAAAATTTAATATTTAAATTTATTGAATAATTAACAAAATATAATGCATAATGTTGATATGTACAGTGCAGAAAATAAAAAGAAAGAACACTTTAATAACTTTTGATCTTATGATCCGATTTTCCCATTTTTATTGTCCATCCCATTTTTATGTTCAAAAGTACCTTAAATTTGCAAAGTAAACCTTAAATTTTTAATCAGATCTGACAATGTTTTAAGGTACAAAATCAGAAAACACAACTCCTCTGAGTGAACATGACTTTTTTTCTCTCACTGACTTTTAATTCGTGACCGCTGCAGTTGCAATGTGAAAAAGATAATTATAATACCCTGGTGTAAGATATTAAGAGAATTTGCAAACCTGGTCGATTATCTCTAGAACAACTGGACCAATTTTAACGAAATTTGATATGTACATACATTGAAACAATACAACAAGAGAAAGTCAGACGCAAGAGCTGACTTTCTCTGAAATAGCATACCTTTACTTCAACTGATTCGAATTCCTGATCCCCAAAATATAGGGAGTATCCGTGATCTGGGAAATATGCTCCCCATAGTTTGGTCAGGAGAATGATTCGAAGTTTGAACCCCAAAACCATTCAACAATTGTAATACGCTCATGATCGTGTGTGACACTCATTGGAGTCGGAAGGTATGAAACAGAGATTGCAGAATAAGCAAGAACAAATGGGTTAATAGGGGGTATGGTCCCCTCTTACAGGTCTTGCAGCGTAACTTCATACTTGAAATAAGGCAATTTATCATTTTCAGTAGCAATTGGCTTGAATTGTCCTATAGAAATTTCATACCTTCCGACGCCAACGAGTGCTACGCGCGATCATGGGTATATTACAATGGTTGAATGGTTTTGTGGTTCAAAATTCAAATCATTCTCCTGACCAAACTATGGGGAGCATATTTCCCTGATCACGGCTACTCCCTATATTTTGGGGATCAGAAATTCGAATGAGTTAAAATAATGGTATGCTATTTCAGAGAAGGTCAGTTCTTGCGTCTGATTTCATAACTTAAAATATAGTTTGCACTAATTGATTAGAATATTTAAGGTCTCCCCCTCGAACTATGAAAATTGTGCTAGAGTGTGAAGATCAGATAATTAGATCAAAAGTTATTCAGGGTGGTACGTTTTTTTGCCGCACTGTATATGTAATATGCAGGTATGATAAATTTTTGGTTCACAATTTAAAAGATCATAAACTTATTAAATTAAATACTTTTAATTAACAACCATTAAGTACACAACAGAGCATAAGCAAACGATTTGAAATTATTCAGATATAATTAATTAACACATACTGTAAAATTATAGTATAAAGTACCGTTGGGTGCAACATCCATAAATTCCATTTTCCCGTAAAATCCAAGCAAGCAGCGAAATATTACTTCGTAATTCTTAAAATAATATTTATTTAATTAGGGTGATTCAGTGATTTTATGGTAATAATAATTGTAAAAATTACAGTATATCAGATTTTTTGATTCTCTAACATTTTTCGGTAAAATGAATCTTACAGTAAAATGTCCCGGCACCCTGAGTGTCTGCACATTTTACCTAAATTTGATCCAGAATTTTTTTAATTATGTAGGCGCTAAACTTAAGCGCTGAAAAACTTAAAACTTTTTATTATCTTCTAAAATACGAGAAGAACATCCTGGAATAAAATATTAAGGTGTATTTAATAACTCACAGGATAGAATTTGAATACAGATGGTTCGTGTGAGTTATATAATTAAGAATTTAAAATGTTATAAGTGGTAACAAAAAGCAACTATTTTATTTTGGAAAAAAGATATGCCAGGAAACCAGATTATAGATACTATTTACTATATCTATTGGATTATAAGAATTTCCGGTAAACCGTTACCATATGAACGGGAACATCTGCAAAGGACAGGTTTAAATACCAATGTTTATTAACAAGAATATTTTGTTTTATTAACAGAATTTTATTTATTTATTTATTTATTTTTTACCAGAAATGTCATTACTAGGCACTACATTAGTTAATTTTACTAGAATTTGTTTCTCCTTGTATAGTAATGATTTAATGAGACTAGACAAAAGAAAATAATGTAATCCTGTAAGAAAAATTTTTCAAAGCTGAATTTGTCAAAGGAAAAGCTTCATTTGTTTCAAAAGTAATTAAGGTAAAAAAAAAAAAATTGACGTGTATCATGAGCTTGAAACAAATCCTTCATTCTCAAGACCATACTAGAATGATAGAAAAAAAAAACAGATTTGACAGTAGGAAGCGTAGCATTTCTAACAAAAAATTGAAAATAAAATAAAAATAAAGAACTAGGAAAGCCGTTTAGTCGAGAAAAAACTATGGTATCCGAAATAAGCAGATTAAGGCAAATGTCATCGGTGAGGTATTCTGTGAATGTCTTAGAGATTATTAATAATCATAGGATCACTTAGGCAATTAAATTCAATTTTAGTATCAGACCTGAATACGACTTTATAACCAAAATTGGAAAAAATATTAAAGTTTGTAGCAAACGGGGGAGAAAAATTCTTTTACAACTAGTTCAATGTAAGAATTAAAGAAAGAGGAGCGTTCGGAAAGGGTTGATTTAACTGTAGAAAGGTTTAGCTAAAGAAGCACCGAATGTTTCAAACTTAAAGTAAAAAAAGTTTGAGTAGGTAAAGGGCTTTCAAAATGAAAGTATAAAATGCAAAAATATTTTTCGAATTAAAATGATTAAAATAACATGGGGTATAAAAATGCAAAAATGTTTAAGATAAACCGAGCTGAAAAAATTACTAATGTTACATACATTGCTATCTAAGTCATCTATCACCACGTATTGTTGGGACCTTGAATATAAATAAACTTTGATAGGACAAAAATTTTTCCACCCGTGTGACATCGACTCATCTTGATGCTCTGGAATACTACTTCATTCAGTAAAATGCTTATTCCCCAGTTTCACTATATCCCTTTATTCCGCTTTGGAATGTATCATGCCATACCTTTCCTCTTTTGGGAAACTTGAGAAAATAATTTCGGAAGGGTTTTCCTTTTCACGTTATATAAAAAAAAATTAAAAATATTTCATTTTTAAACAAATACCTAAGTTTTTTTTTGTTTAATCAAGTTGTTGTTGTTTTTCAAATTAATAAACGTTTGTTAGTTACCAAATTTTTTAAAATATTTTCTCATTTTTTAGGAAAAAGGGATTTGAATATTTTGCGCATTGTTAAGGAAAACATTCTTGAGTAGTTTACAATTGCATAAAAAATTAAGTTTTTTACTTTGAAAAACTAGGAAAATACTCTATCACCTTTTACAGGAGGAAAAAAAAACACATAATCTTTTGAAACTAGCAGGAACTCTTCAAAGCTTTAAGGTTCTTCTCATTCTAACAAACAGCAAACGAGAATTAACAACAAATCATGGATTCATCATCAGCAGCTTAAGTCTAAACCTTTCCGCAAAACAAGATCAACCGAATCTTATTATATTGTGGTGAATAAATCTTCTCAAAGGTTCATGGAAAATTCCCAGGTGTGTACAAGTAAGCCCATAGTGTTGCTCTCCAATCTAACGGTTCTGAAACCCCTATAAATGTTTAAGTTTGTTTCGCCTACTTCCAATCACCTATCTCCCATATAAAACTGGTTGGGAACTTTTTTGGAAAGGGTTGTTTCCGAAATATAGATGTGATGAAGACAACTAGGATCGATAGGCAATAATAATTATAGTTTAGGTATTGTATATTTACATTTTGTAGAATGTCTCAGGAAAATTTGAAGAGTTATTAATAATTGTGGACTAATCATTTTACGGTGGAATATAATCGAGGAGAAGTTTTATGCAAAGTGCAGACTTCAAGATATTAATAACAAAACAAATTGTTTTAAAATTATGTTTATTAATGCTAACTCAATATTTTGTTAAATTTCGCAAGCTTTAACTTATTGGGAGAATGCTTTTGAATGTATCTATTACAATATTATTATGTTAAAATAGTTTTTTTAAAAAAGTATTTAAGTTCTCCTTTTATTCAAATGAACGCGTCACAGTTTTGGAAAATTTTATTTTAATTTTTACTCTGGTATAACTTTATTCATGTTTTATTATAAGGAATGTTCTAACAACATGGTTAAAATGAAATAAAATGAAAGTAAAAATTTATCATTTTTAAATGCTAGAATTTGATCCGAAGAATCCATTACAAGTTTTAAAATACTATTGCATTTCTAGTTTTTAATATTTTTTCATGAACCTCTATAATAACCTTTATTATATAACCATTATAAACTACCTAATAATGATCCGTTAAGTGGTTATCCTATAAAGTAAAAATATAAATTAAATTTCGAAACGAAATATTACGAGACAATATTAAAAATTATTAGAAAAATTCATAATATCCAAGTTTAATATTAAAAATGGAAATGGTTTGTTTCCAATATATAGATGTTATGAAAATAGCAAAGATCAAAAGGCAATAATAATTGTAGTTTAGGTATCAAAGCAAGGTTTCATGCTAGTTTTCAAAAGTACAGACTTCAAAATATTAAGATATTAATAATATAATATATTAGTTTAAAATTATATTTATTTATGCCAAATTAATATTTTTTTTCATTTAGCGAACTTTAACTTGTTCTTTTGGGAGAATACTTCTGAATATATTTACTATCATATTATTATTTTGAAAATCTTTTTTTTAAAGTATTTATGTTCTCTTTTTGTTCAAGGTGACATGGTACCATTTGGAACGTTTTATTTTTAAATTTTGGACCCTGATATAATTTTATTGACTTAAATATGTTCATAAAGAGTGCTCTAACAACATATTTAAAATTGAATAATGGAAAAATAAATGTTTATTATTTTTAAAAGATTATTATTCAATATATTATAATTATTATTCAATAAAAACTGCAATATAATGTTTACATTATTATATTTTTAAAAAAAGTAATTGATGCTTTTTACCTGATTTTATAATAAATTGTAAATAAAAAAATATTCTTTTTCAGAATAATTTTTCACTTTCAGAAAGAAGCAATGTTATGTCTATATGCAGCAGTGTTTTGTATTAGTTTGTTCAATATTTGTCTCGTTTACGGATGGAAACAACCTGAGTTAGGTAAGTTTATTAACATCAATAATCAATATCTTCTCCTCCCATACCTTTACAGTTTCTGAAATATTTGAAGGCAATTTTTTTGTAAAACTAAGTAGACAAAGTAAAAATAAACCCAGACTTTAGGAATAAATAGCAAGACTAAATGTATAGTTAAAATTGAAAGTGGCAAAACAGAAGATGTTGAAAAATTTTTCTTACCTTGGTGCAATTGTTGATAGGAAGGGATGTACAAATGCAGAAATGGGAGCAAGAATTTAAAAAGAACAATTTTGCTTCACAAAGTTTGGAGATCAAATAAATTAATGATAAGGACTAAAATTAACATTTTTAATTCAATGGTAAGGATCGTACTGTTGTATGGGTCAGAAACAAGGAAACTAACAAAACTTCATAGTACAAAGCTAAATAGTGGCAAAATCGATGCTTGAGAAATATTCTAAAAATATTTCGGATCTCAGACCTTATCGAATTCAGAACTCTGGAATAACCCAGGCAAGGACCAATCATCATCAGTATGAAAAGAAAAAGATGGAAATGTATAGATCACGTATTGAAATTGCCTACTGCAAAAATACCATAACTAGGCTTAACGTGGGCATCAGAAGGCAAATGAAAAAGAGGCAGACCCATGCTCACATGGAGAAGAAAGGTGGAAGAGGAAAGAAGAAAGGCGGGAGGGACGAACTGGTCCGAGGCCAGATCTTGCGCAAAAGACCGAGTGATCTGGTGAAAGAAGATAAGGGCTTTCTGGGCCACTGGGCACGAAGTAGGATAATTAAGTAAGTGGGCAAAGAGTAGCGTGTCTAACTAAAACAGATTGTTACTAAATAGTGCCGTAGTATATTATAGCAATAAATATATCGCTTATAAAATTACATCATAAATATGCAAAACTTAAAAGTACCTGAAATTTATATTTTAGAATCAGTGTTAAATATACAAAATATTCTAACAAAACATTCCAAATCCTGAATTAATTTTTCTTTCAGAATATAATGAAGATTCTTTTGGGGTTGGTTCATCTCCAAAATGGGATGATGGTAATGAAAAAAGAAATGACGGCAGTAAGTATTATTGCTTGTTTTTCTTATTAAAAGCTTCTTCATAAATATAACTGGGACTCGAAACTCGTTGGAATTTCTGCATACAAAAACCTTGAATTTCAATTTTATATATATATATATTATTAAAAATTTTCTTCAAAACTCTTTTTTAAAGAAAATGGCTGTTTATCTTAAGAAATTATAATTATCATTATTTTGTTGTTTATGTTTTTTTAAAGAAATATTTGCAACTGATTGAATCCAGTATTATCATAATATTGTGTTTAGTTTAGTTAAATTAAAAATAATAAAACATGTCAGCGTAGGATCAAATTAGATTTCATAATTTTACTTGGAATTAATTAGAATTAGATCCCAGTTTAAACAATTTTATTTGCAATAAAAATAAGTCACAAATAACAATATTATAATTACAAACTGAAGTTTTAACATTACCATATTATTATTGCACCAACAATATTTCTACTAATAAAAGATAATGTAACGATATTATAAAGAGCACTAAAAATATTTTAACGCATCCCATATATTTTATCCTGTTAGTTTACAAAAGAAAAGTGCTTGCATGAAAGTGGAATTCGTTAACAATAAGGATAGAACTAATATACTCAAATTATTAATTATTTATGAAAACCTGAGAGAGTTTTAATAATTTTCTTTACAAAAAATGAGTTTAAAATTAGAATATTATAACTACAAAATGAAGTTTTGAAGTTACCTTATTATTAATATTATTATTACACTAATAGCATTTATACAAATAAAAGATAATCTAACGACATTACTAAGAGCACTAAAAATATTTTAACATTTCCCATGTATTTCATTCCGTTAGTTTTCGTTAAAAGAAAATTAATAACTTACGTGAAAGTGGAATTGTTTACAAAAAGGATATAACTGATAAAATCGAATTATTAGTCATTTATTAAAATTAGAGCCAGTTTATAGTTATTTTCTTTACAACAAAAATGAATGTAAAATTACAATGTTATAATTGAATAATGATGTTTCGATGTTAGCTTATTATTAATATTATTATTACAATAATAACACTTCTACTAATAAAAGATATAACGACATTAATACGGACACTGAAACTATTTCAACGTATCCCATACATTTTATTTTGTTAGTTTACTTTATGAGAAGAGTAATAGTTTTAGTAATTTCCTTTACAACAAAAATGAATTCAAACTTACAATTTTATAATTTCAAAATGAAGTTTCGATGTTACTTTATTATTAATACAATTATTACACTAATAGCATTGTTAATAATAAAAGATAATATAATGACATTACTAATAATACTAAAAAATATATCATCGTATCCCATATATTTAATTACCTTTAGTTTATATTATATGAAGAAAAAAAAGCTTTTATGTAAAAGGAATTTGTTAAAAATAAGTAAATAACTGTTATATCCAGTTTGAAAATTAATTACTAATGTTAGAGCGAGTTTCAATAATTTTCTTTTAAACAAAAAGGTAATTATATTTCTCTTTCAAAGCATGGTGGACTAAAAAATCCATTCACGAGGAGGAATTCTCAAACGGTAAGCATAAATTAATTTAATATTAATCATATTCAATCCTCTTATTAAGTAGTCCTGATTTAATGGTTCGTTAATTCTATATCAGTTAAATAAATAATACCAATAAACTGAAGCTGTAATATATAACTTGATTAACTTCATTCCCTTTAAAAATATACTAATTGGAAATAACAGTCAACCTGCTCCAAGCACTCAAAAACAGGCGCTATTTTTCAAAATTTGCCAGACGTAATTGAAAAGAGATTAATGTAATTTTAAATATAAAACGTGAAGTTGCCAACCAAAAAATGGAGAAAAAAAGGTGAGAAACAAAACTAGAAAAACCACAGTAGCCGTGAGAAAAGAAAAAGATGGAAGTAAGAGCAAATGAAGCATTTTATTTTGATTTGCCCATCTGTTGTTTTTCTTGCTCTCTTTTTGCTTCTCATCCTTATTTTTCTATTGTTCATTAGTAACTTTAGGTTTTATAATTCAAATCACTTTTGCTTCTTCTCATTCATGTCTGGTAAGTCTTGAAAACGGGCCCCTAATTTTGAGCGCTTGTAGCATATCGATTGCTATTTCTAATTTGTATATTTTTGAAGCAAATGAAGTTTTTAATCATGTAATCTATATCGATTATTTAATAATTATATGTTATAGTATATCTACTTATATTATTGAGGTGGAAGATCTTTAATGTCCCTATTTTCTTTTACTAATGACAATTCAAGATGGTAAAGTTGAATGAAAAACATGATTTAAAGTGATAAAATGTTTTTTTTGTCTAATTTTCTTTTATTAAAATTATTTTTAATGTTATTGTTTTGAAGAAGTTTCCATATTTAAATTTTAAAGAGTTAAAAAATTATAGATGAAAAATTAATAGATTTTTTAATAGATTTGCCTCATTGATGATATTTTAATACTTTATAATTTTGATTATTTAAAGATCATAGAAAATATCTTAAATGAATCGATTATCAAATTAGATTATCGATTATCGAATTAGAAAATCTATTAAATTAGGGAGACGTGCAGAACCGTCTATAGGTTAAAATATATCTTCAAAATATTTTCTTATGGTGCTTTTTATTAACACACTTGGTTTCTGTTCTTTGTTTGCCCTTTATTCTCTTATATATTATTGTATATATTTTATATTGTATATATTCATACATGTTATGAATATTATCAGCTACTTTTCAATGATTCTTATTACAATTATTTATTTGTAAGTTATTTGCGTACATATGCACTATTTTTTAAATAAACTTTTATATTGCACTTAACTTTGCAAATTACGACTTTTAATAAAGTGACCAGTCAATTCAGGCATTAGTTTAAGAAAAAATGATTTACGGTAAATATTGCAGAATGCAATAATTCAATAGAACTCATTAAGTGCAAAATATTAACTACAAGAATTAGAATATAACTGTTTAAGTATATTAAGTATGTAACTGCTTAAGTATATTAAGAATGTAACTGTTTAAGTATATTAAGTAAGTAACTGCTTAAGTATATTAAGAATGTAACTGTTTAAGTATATTAAGTATGTAACTGTTTAAGTATATTAAGTATGTAACTGTTTAAGTACATTAATAAAAAAAACTACTCATAGGCATGCTAACGTTACATTTGATGTTAAAAAAGTTTTTTTTAAAAATACAATTATATGAAGTAAAAATGTCAAGCAAACAAACAATTTTAAAAGGCAAAAAGCTGAATCTTCTTCATTGGCAGAGACGTAACTATAACTTTTGCAACTGTTGATGAATGATTTAAATTTCATTTACTTTAAATTTCATTAAAATTAAATTTAAATTTCATTTACTGAATAATATGAAGTAAAAATGTCAAGCAAACAATTTTAAAAGGCAAAAAACTGAATCTTCTTCATTGGCAGAGACGTAACTATATCTTTTGTAATGATTTAAATTTCATTTACTGAATATCTGTTTTTTTTTACACTCTTGAGTAGAAATAGAATTTTTAGAGTATCTAAGCAAATAAAATGTATTTATAAACAGGAATTAAAAGATTCGATTAATTTCGATGCGAGGCATTCACATTTTAAAACAACATTACATTTTGTTTTTCTATGAGTTGTATTTTAAACAATATTATTAAAAAATAAATTTTTTTAAATGCATTTTTACAAAAATTAGCTAAAAGACATTGTTTTCCGTTTGAATTTATCAATATCATTTATAAATTTAAAGAAGACCTTGATGAAAAGAATGCTTAGTGGCGACCTCTCGTGAGAACAATCAGTTGTCAAAAGTTTGATAATTATTGCATGCTGATAAATTTGTCTTAGTGAATTGTTTATCAAAATTCCTTTAACGCAATAAGTACCAATTATATTTCCAATCTCGTTTTTCATAGGTAAATTACAATAGAGAACTAATTTCCTTTGGTTTTCTGTTTCATGAGATTTTTTTTTATCAGATCTTAGATACTTTCAAATCTATACTCGGTTTCTCTCTCCAAGCTGCAGTTTTTTTTTAAAAAAATGATGCAATTTTAAACATGTTATGTAGCAGGAAGTCGCTTAATGGTGCTACATACTTCTAGAGAAGTTAGATCACAGCATCAGGATTAAAATGGCATAAGAATCTACCTGGAAATGTCGTCATACGCTTCTAGGGACGCTAAAATGTTATTGAACTGTTTCTTCGTGCAGTTCAGATCAGACTGTAATAGGGAAGGGACTCTAGCCACGTACGATGACATTTCCAGAGCATCGGTTCTTATGCCATTTTGATAACGATGATGTGTCTTAACTGTTTTAGAAGTATGTAGCAACATTAAAGCATTCCCTGATATTTATAACGCTTTAAAACTTGTACATTTCGACAAAAAATAGACTAAAATGTCATTAAAAAATCCGTAGAATTGGCAAAACTAATTTCCGATTTGAAATTCCCACATCAGAAATAGGTTAGATCAAGTATTTGTAGAATTGGAACAAAAAATTTGCTTCTCTGTGATATTAATACACAATGAGGATTTGTTAAAGAGCAAAAGTTTTGAACTTTAAAATATGAATTGCTGTTTGTTTAATGTCAGGTAGCTTGAAATTTATTATTTAATAAGAGTACTGGTGGTCGGATAGTATCAAAATAGAAGGAAAAAAAAAACAGAATCTTACTTTCTATTATTATTCTGTATAAACTCATAGCGATTTTTGGTAGCGATCTGATATACGTTGATTTTACAGTAACAATTTCAATAAAATCATTGAGTCACTCTATTTAGATAAATATTATTATAAAAATTATCTGTTTAATAATTTGTGGTAAAAAGGAATTTTACTGGGATATTTTTACGTATGAAGCACCCAAAGTGCTGAAACTTTATACTGCAATTTGATGTGGAATTTTTACAGTAGGGTAAAATTAACAATCTCCAACGGTCGCAGAATGACTGAATATAAAAATGAAGATTACAATTTGTTGCTAAGCGATTGCCACTTTCTTCATCGAAAATGCATCTCATCGAGCATGTTGTTATTTTTTTAAATATATATAGAAATATAAACATTTCATAATATCCTAAAAATTCAACTATTGTACGCTTGCTTCTTAAATTTTTCAAATTTTATTTTAGAAATAAAATTTTTAATATTTATCATACTTTGAAAATTGCTTCAAAAGAAATGCTTAAGAGTATGAATATTAACAGCTTTTTTAATAGTTGATTATTTTTAATTTTTATAAAAAAGGTTATTGATCAATGGCTAAAATTTCCTTATTTTGCCCGATATCACTTGATACTTTTTTGCATATGTACATGCGAACGAAAGTATTATTTAATCTACCTTTTGAGGTTGCCAGCATGTTATTAGAACTAATTCATTTAAACAATTAAAAAAAATCAAAATTCTGAAATAAGTATTTTATTATGAGACTAGTGAATAGCCGAAAATAATTGTTTCTGAATCAATGTGAAATTAAATGACGGATATCTAGCTTTTTCTGAAAGCTGTAAAGCCAAACCAACAGCACATGCAACTTTAAGTAAGGAGAAAAAAAAATTTCCGATTATATATGCGAATAGAAATGCATAGGAGTTCCTTTAACATACAGATTTTCTCAAAGTAGAAAATTTGTTTACAACAAAAACAATATCAATAAAATGAAATAATCCTTCATTGCAATAAATTTCAGATCAAATTACGGCAAAAGATACCGGCAAAAAATCTATTATATCGTAACTTTTACAATACTGTGAAATAACTTAATTATTGTAATTGAATAAATGTTACTGCAAAAATTATAAAATTTTGCGATAAAATAGAATTCACAGATGCTGAACTCAGGGTACCAGTATTTTGATCCGGAATTTCTTAGAGTGTACGCACTTTTGTAAATAATCCAAATCTTAAGGCTCATCACTTAAAAGTCTTAAGACGCACGTTAACGAAGGAAGATATTATTTCTTAAAAAAATATTATAGTGGAGCAACTCTTTAATATCTGAAAAATTGTGTAAATACAATGTCTAAAATTATTACCACATAACAACCACACGGTATTTGCCACTGTCCTATTTTTTCTATAATAAGAGCTTATTTAGACGTTGAAAATTTCGTTTTTAATTGAACAATTATGTGGCATCAAAAAATTTAGTTACATTTAAAAATAAATTGCTTTTATAAAACATTAAATGGAGAGAAATATTTTTCTCTGACGGAAAAAAAAATAGCCCCATGTTTATCTTTTTTTTTCTCTTCAGGTTGCTCTTTGGAAAAATGCATGATGCTATTCAAAGATTGCTTGCGTCAGGCTGAAAGCAAAAACATTTTTATGCATTGCAAAGAGACCCATCTATCTTGCTTAGCCAGCTGTTTCAGGAAATACAAAGAGAGATTTTTATTCAATAGCGTCGCTTTGGATTCCTGAAGATTTTCTCTGTCATCAGATGCGGAAGAATTATTTGTTCGAAAAAGACCTTCGCTATGGACACCTCGATTCTGGCAATTGTTTTTCCTGTTTTGTACACTTTAGAGTAACAAAAATAAATAAGAACTTTTAATTTTAATGGTTTGGATTGATTTTCATAAATTTCATTGAGTTGGATATTTTTATTTAGTACAATTTTGATTACTTTTATTAATGTTTCAAACTTATTAATGATGTTAACATTCAATAACATTTGAAATATTGAAATGGCATAAAAAGGAAATGGCATTTTTTTACATCGTAGCAACTCAAATGAAAAAAGTTACTAGGTTCATACGCTACTCGCGCGTATCGATGTTTCAAAACAATTTGTGGTCTTACAAACTCAGACATGGAAAATATTAATAAAAATGATATTTGATGGAAGATTTTAATTGCTTTTTAAGAAGATAATTGATATATTTTTAAAGAAAATGTACTAAGCTCTGCTAATATTCATTTTTTTTATCAAATAAAGAACAAAAATTGATTAAATTGCTGTTCTCTATTGTAAGGACATTTCTGGTAAAAAAAAAACCTAAATTCTGATAATAAAAACCAAAATATGCGGAATTTAAACCATTCATTTGGTTAATTTTCATATGGTAACGGTTCATCAGAAATTCTGGGATTTAAAATTACAGTTTTTATTTCTAAACATTTAGTGAAAAATACAAAACTGAAAAGAAAATTTAAGTAAATAAATGGTTTTTATGCCATGAGCTAGGGCATTATAATAAATCACCAAACTACGCCACATTTACCAAATTTTTTCGCATGTTATTAAACTATATTTTCTTGCTAATTATACCAAAATCATAAACAAAGCTCTTTGGTAAAAACAATTGAGCTTTTTGGTCTAGCTCTAGAGCCAGAAACATGGTAAATTTTACCATATTCTGGTAATTTTGACCACATTTTTCCCCTCATTGTATAACCGAAGAGGTTTTGAAAACTTTTGTGTGAGAAACATACTGTTTAGGCAACTACCGCAAATGAGAAATTTCACATCGTATCTTTCCTTGCATATTTAAAGAAAAACTAGAAAACATTACCAACTTCAGTTAGGAATACCAGATAACGCAACTAACTTTCATTCATGTGGTAAAATTGGAACTTGAATCAATACTGAACATATTTTTTTTTGTAAAGTTTTTGAAGTAATTAAAAATATTTTCTTTTAACTTTGTCCAAGTTGTTTCCTGTTACCCTGTAATTCGTTTCGCAATATTCCATTCATTCCGTATAAAGGACACATAAATATAGTAATCATTCGAGTATGCACTAATAGACATTAAAAGATGTAATCTTTTCATCAGCTCACATGATTATATCCGCAAAAAGGAGTGCTTTCTAATATTGTATCAATACAGAAAAATAAATATATCAATACATTAATGTGAGGAGCACACAAAAAATTGAAACGAAAATAAAACACATTAAGTAAAAAATATATACGAAAGGAAACGTATCAAGCAAAGAACAGAAAATAAAATGTCAAGAAAATACGGAACAAAACACAAAATGAAATCTTTAAAACGAAGAGCGAATTCAAATGAACTTACGCGTACCGCAATCTTTCAAGAATTATTTAAAACAAAATTGCCTGATTACATGATATGAAAACAAAAGCTTAAATAGAATGATCTTTTACAACACGTTCTTAATGCAGTACTGAAGCGCGTTAGGTTACCTTAGATTGGCCCGAAAATGGATGACCACAAAATAATAATATTATACTGGATAATTTAAAGTTTATAATTAATATGATTAATATTTATATAATTATAAAATTTAAATGATTTTAGAAAATGAACAATTATTTAAAAAAGGAAGATTTTTACAGGAGCTAAATTATTACTACTGTTTTAATTCATAAAAATAGGCTCGAAGTGCAACGCCCCAAACATGCGAAATTGGGAAAACGAATTAAAAAACTAAGCAAAATGAAAACGAAAGTAAGTTAATATAGTAAATAATATTAAGTGCTAAAGCTGCATTAAATATGATCACTAAAATAAAGCAAAATTAAGATAAAACGTATATGTAATAATAGCAATAAACACACACACGCACACGCACACACACACGCGCACGCACGCACGCACGCACACACAGATATATATATATATATATATAGTACAAAATGAAGATAAAACAAAGGAAAATTACAGATTAATGAAAAAAGGGGGGAAAAGAAAATTAATAATNTAATCAGAGGCTTGATTTCTTTATGAATTATAGAGACATTAAAAAGTGTTTTTTTCTCTTATTTCTTATATATATATATATATATATATATTTCCTTCAGAACAGATGTAATATCTCATTAGATTAGATTAGGCATTAAAAACAAAAATCAATATACTTTCCAAGTTATTTCATGGTTTAGGTCAAAATAGATCTAGTGTAAAATTTAATTAAATAGTTTTTAATATAATGCATGTTATTAAAAAACAAAACAATTTTTTTAGTTAATAGCGGAAAAACAAACAAACAAACGCTTCTTTTGAAAATTGAACAATATAAAATTACTTGCATAAAGAATATTGCATTAATTCTCTCGCTATTTGATACTCTTTTCAATAGTAAAAATAGGAAATTTTATTGAAATAAAAAAGTTGTTAACTAGTTTGTGTTTAACTTTTTGCGAGTATAAAGTTTAAAACCTCATTTTTAACATGTCTTCAGTAGAATTTGAGTTTGTTAAATATTCGTATAATTTAATATTCGGACATAATAGCATTAAAAAAGTGTGACTATAATAAAACTAGGCATAATGGTAGCAGGTACTATTTCAAATAAATTCCTTTGAAGTTTCTTTTTCGATAGAAAATAATAAAAAAACTAAACCTGTAAAAGTAACTAAGAAAAATTTCCTTTCGGATATTTCAGGTTTTCTTGGTTTTGTAGACAAACCAATTGTTGCACTTTATTGAACGCACAATTCTTTGAACACACAAGAAACTACACTTCTTTTAACTTAACCTCAAAAATAAACATGGAAGCCGCTCTTTATCGTCTGTTGTCGCAAAATTCTTTACTTTGTGTTGGCAACGACTAGGAGAGTTAAAACGATATAAAAAGAAAATGATCAGTAGAACTTTTTTTCTTATCCCTCGAGTCAAAGTTTTAAGATCGATGGAGTAATTGAAATATCAGATTTAGGAAATTCAAAAATAAAAATATCAGAAAAAAGGAAGAAAAAAAAAAAGAAAAATTGTTTTGCATTGAAACTGGCAGCCTTGGATGAAACATTTTATATCGTAACATTCTTTATCAGTAAGTATACTTCTTTTACTGAAGTTCTTTTTCTTTATGATGTGTAGTCTAGTAAAAGGTAGTATATAAAATGATAGACCTTGTTTTGATGCAGCCAATTTTAAGCCGAGTACAGCATCAGAGAGTTTAATATTTTTGATGCAAGACCATCTTTAAATGAATTTTTTATGAATAAGAAGTATTAAATATGAAATAACAAGCCTAATATCTTTCTTTCCTGCTCGTTTGAAATGAATTTATTTCAGAGATTTTATATTTTGATACTGCATAATTGGGTTTTTAGATCGATTCATATTTTTTATAATTTTATTGTCCAGAAATAATGAATTTTGATGCAAATTCATAATATTTTCGCTTAAAACTTGTTTTATTTTATTAAATATATACAGTTTCTAATTCTTTTTTTCATGCTGAAAATGCAGTTCTAATGTTTGTTCTTTTATAAGTAAAACAAAGCTGCTTGTTTGTAATAACATATTTATCATCTGCTTATTTGACTTACTTTAAAGATGCAATTTCGTTGAGCTTTTCGTTAATTTCTTAGACTACTGATTTTACTAGGAAAAAATTCATTATTATTACGTTATAAACTTAATATATATATTATATGTAGATCGATTTTCTTATTAAAAAATTATTATAATTATGTAATCTATTTATTATAATTATTTTAAATGTACAATTTTATTGATTTTTTTTATTTTAAGACTTCTAATTTTCTAAGGAAACAAAATGTATATTATTAATCTATTTGCTTTACTTATAATTAATTAGATTGCATTTTTCAGGAAAAAATTGCACATTGTTATGTAATCTATTTATTACACTTATTTTAAATATGCCACTGTATTGCGTTTTTATTACAATGACGTATCAAGCAATTCATAAAAATCTAATGGTGATGACGAAGTTTTCCATTGTTGTCGGGGTATTTTTATTGGCGGAAAATCACGTTGTAGGATCCAGTTTTCCCTCTTTCATTTTCTTTTTGTTTTGGTTGTTATGAGCATAAAATTAATAAAAGTTATAAAGATATTTTTTTTCTACACGTATTTTTGTATCCTTAATTTAAAGGTATTTTTCTGTACTGCAATTATTATGTTTTTGATTTAAGAGTTTAAAAATAAGAGAATTTTTTGTATTCTTATTATTATTATTACAAAAATTCTGCGCTACCTTTTAAGAAAGTTATTTAAAAAGGTGTCTAATCTTAACGAAATGTGTAAAATGTTAACCATTCTAAAGGTGTTTAAAATCCGCTTTATAATTCTTATTTGATTGGTTGGCATGTTATGAACATGGAAAATAAATCAATAATAAATCAACATGACACTATATAGGACCTTGATAAATCGCGTCGCGTGTATATATAGTGTATAGGACCGAAGGTCCTATACACATTATTATTATTTGTTCAAATATATTAATATAATTTTATAAATTTCCGTCTTAGAGATTTCGTTAAATAATTTAGAGCTTAATGATCTGCTTCATGAACAATGTGATGCAAGCAAAAATAGTATTTAATATATTCACCCGTTTTGTAATCGAAAATATTAAATTGCGGTTGTGAATTCACCAAATTAGTTAGAACAAAACAATTTTATATAATGTTATAACAAAGTAAACGTTATTTTAAAAAATGATTTCTTAGAAAAATTATTTCTGTTCACCGATAGATCTAAATATTTATAATGTTAATATTTGACCGTGAGAAGTGGAGGCACTAGTGTGATTCTTTTTAGTATATCTATGTTAAGAGAACAATTTAAATTTTTGTAAAAAAATCTGTTTTCTGCCAAGAGAAAACAATTATTG